TGGAGGCTCATCTGTAAATGTGGTGTGGGGAGTAGTGACTGGTATGTGAAGGTGTTGTAGGGTGGCTGGCGTGAATGGGTTCTGGGGAACCATGAGTAGCTTGTGAATGTGTTTGGAGAGCTGTGAGTAGTTTGTAAAAGTGTTGCGGGGTGGCGGGTGTGTGAATGTGTTGTAGAGTAGCTGGTGTGTAAATGTTTTCTGGGCAACCGTGAGTAATTTGTGAATGTTTTGCAGGGTAGCTGGTGTGTGAATGTCTTGCGGGTGGATGGTGTGTGAATGTTTTGTAGGGTGTCTGGTGTGTGAATGTGTTCTGGGGAACCAAAAGTAGTTTGTGAATGTGTTGTGTTGTAGGGTGGCTGGTGTGTGAATGTTTTGTAGGGTGGCTGGTGTGTGAATGTGTTCTGGGGAACCATAAGTAGTTTGTGAATGTGTTGCAGGATAGCTGGTGTGTGAATGTGTTGCGCGTGGCTGGTGTGTTAATGTGTTGTAGGGTTGCTGGTGTGTGAATGTGTTCTGGGGAACCACGAGTAATGTGTGAATTGTGTTCTGTGGAACCTTGAGAAGTTTGTGAATGTGTTGCGGGGTGGCTGGTGTGTGAATGTTTTTGTAAAAAAGTGGAGCTCTCTTTTGTAAAAAAGAAACACACACTGTATATCAGTAGATGCAGGGCCGTCTTTAATAAAGATTGTATCCTGGGCAAGCGTTTGCCTGGGCCTCCTGGACCCTGCCCCCTCTCCCTCCCCCACTCCCTGGCATGCAATCATGGCATCCACCCCAACGCAGTGGCGGTACTAAAGTAGAAAGAAATTTATTGGGATCCCCAATTGCAAGGTTTGATTAAAGGTAGAACCCCATCTGTTGTGCAACTCCAACAATGCTTTGACAGCTGGGGCTCTACTAATTTCCCATGTTTGCAGAGTTGTATTTAGGATTGTAAGCATGTGTTTGTATGGAGTATGTTTGTGTGAATGTGTTTGTATGTGGTATTGGAGTTTGAATGCAAACTTGTGCATGTATGTGTAGTATTTGTTTTTGAATGTAGGGGTGTGTTTATATATAATTCTGGTGTTTAACACAGAGGTGTGTTTGTATGTAGTGTTGATGTTTCAATGCAGGAGTGTGTTTGTATGTAGTGTTGAAGTTTGAATGGAGGGGTGTATTTGTATTTAAAGTTGGTGCTCAGACACACAGGTACACACGCTGACACACAAGCAGATATACAGATGTACACACTGACTACATACAGATAAACACACTGACAAACATACTGACACACAAAGGCACATACACTGACAGATACACTGACACAAACACCGGCACATATACAGACACGCTGACACAAACCAACAGACACATACACTGATTGACATACTGACACACATACACAGCGACATACACTGACAGACATACTGACACACACACACAGGCACATACACTGACAGAAATACTGACACACACACATACACACAGAGATACAAACACTGACAGACATACTGACACACACAGGCACATACACTGACACACACAGACATACTGACACACACACATACAGATATACTGACACACATGCACATACACTGACATACATACTGACACACACACAGACAGACATACTGACACACATGTAAAATATACATTTTTCAACCCACCCTCCAGTTTCCTACCTTTTGCTGGAGGATGGCTTCCCTGGGGTCCAGTGTAGTGCCTGAGGCTGATGGGAGTGAAGAGCCTCCATCCTCGCTTCAGCCTCGTCCTCCCTCCCTCCCTCGCGACTCCTCCTGCCAACTTCCATGCAGCTCCTCTCTTTATGGGAGGAAGTGACTCACAGCTGTCACCTTCTCCCAGCTGGCTGCCAGAAAGTAAGGGGCCCGGTCACGGTGTTAACGGGCGACAGAGCCCGTCCGGCCCTTGCTGATACAAGCCCACAGGGTGGCCCTAAATGCATGGGCTACCTGGCGGGACCCAGAAGACTAAAAAAAAAAAGAAACTGATGTGGGCAACGGGGCACTGCCTTGGGCCACCCAGGAGAAACTGGGTCTGGGGCAGTTGCCTCGCGTTAAAGAGGGCCCTGAATGTGCCACGTTGTCAAAGATTAATTTAAGCTTATTTTTCATTGCTCTAAAATATGTTTTTGTCCCTTATGATTTCAAAGTGGAGGCAACAGTACTAATACAAACATGTATAGCTTGGGGAAAAAAGACAAAACGGGGAATATGATAGAAACATTTAAATACATAAAGGGAATCAACACAGTAAAGGAGAAGACTATATTTAAAAGAAGAAAAACTACCACAACAAGAGGACATACAGTTGCAAGAAAAAGTATGTGAACCCTTTGGAATGATATGGATTTCTGCACAAATTGGTCATAAAATGTGATCTGATCATCATCTAAGTCACAACACTAGACAATCACAGTCTGCTTAAACTAATAACACACAAAGAATGACATGTTGCCATGTTTTTATTGAACACACCATGTAAACATTCACAGTGCAAATGGAAAAAGTATGTGAACCCCTAGACTAATGACATCTCCAAGCGCTAATTGGAGTGAGATGTCAGCCAACTGGAGTCCAATCAATGAGATGAGATTGGTGGTGTTGGTTACAGCTGCCCTGCTCTATAAAAAACACACACCAGTTCTGGGTTTGCTTTTCACAAGAAGCATTGCCTGATGTGAATGATGCCTTGCACAAAAGAGCTCTCAGAAGACCTACGATTAAGAATTGTTGACTTGCATAAAGCTGGAAAGGGTTATAAAAGTATCTCCAAAAGCCTTGTTGTTCATCAGTCCACGGTAAGACAAATTGTCTATAAATGGAGAAAGTTCAGCACTGCTGCTACTCTCCCTAGGAGTGGCTGTCCTGTAAAGATGACTGCAAGAGCACAGCGCAGACTGCTCAATGAGGTGAAGAAGAATCCTAGAGTGTCAGCTAAAGACTTACAAAAGTCACTGGCAAATGCTAACATCCCTGTTAGCGAATCTACAATACGTAAAACACTAAACAAGAATGGATTTCATGGGAGGATACCACAGAGGAAGCCACAACTGTCCAAACAAAACATTGCTGCACGTTTACAGTTTGCACAAGAGCACCTGGATGTTCCACAGCAGTACTGGCAAAATATTCTGTGTACAGATGAAACCAAAGTTGAGTTGTTTGGAAGAAATACACAACACTATGTGTGGCAAAAAAAAAGGCATAACACCCCAACATCAAAACCTCATCCCAACTGTGAAGTATGGTGGTGGGGGCATCATGGTTTGGAGCTGCTTTGCTGCATCAGGGCCTGGACGGATTACTATCATCGAAGGAAAAATGAATTCCCAAGTTTATCAAGACATTTTGCAGGAGAACTTAAGGCCATCTGTCTACCAGCTGAAGCTCAACAGAAGATGGGTGACCCAAAGCATAGAAGTAAATCAACAACAGAATGGCTTAAACAGAAGAAAATATGCCTTCTGAAGTGGCCCAGTCAGAGTCCTGATCTCAACCCGATTGAGATGCTGTGGCATGACCTCAAGAAAGTGATTCACACCAGACATCCCAATAATATTGCTGAACTGAAACAGTTCTGTAAAGAGGAATGGTCAAGAATTACTCCTGACCGTTGTGCACGTCTGATCTGCAACTACAGGAAACGTTTGGTTGAAGTTATTGCTGCCAAAGGAGGTTCAACCAGTTATTAAATCCAAGGGTTCACATACTTTTTCCACCTGCACTGTGAATGTTTACATGGTGTGTTCAATAAAAACATGGCAACATTTCATTCTTTGTGTGTTATTAGTTTAAGCAGACTGTGATTGTCTATTGTTGTGACTTAGATGATGATCAGATCACATTTTATGACCAATTTGTGCAGAAATCCATATCATTCCAAAGGGTTCACATACTTTTTATTGCAACTGTAGTATTAAATTAGACGGGCAAAGGTTTAAAAATAATATCAGGAAGTATTACTTTACTGAGAGGGTAGTGGATGCATGGAATAGCCTTCCAGCTGAAGTGTTCGAGGTTAACACAGTAAAGGAGTTTAAGCATGCGTGGGATAGGCATAAGGCTATCCTAACTTTAAGATAAGGCCAGGGACTAATGAAAGTATTCATATTTATTTTGGCAGGAATTGGGCAAACTAGATGGGCTGAATGGTTCTTATCTGCTGCCACATTCTATATTTATAGTGCCATACACTTATTTTCAACATATATGCCCCAGATTTTTACTCTATACTATCAATAAACTATTTCCGTCCCACAACACTTTCAACAGTGCAATGTCTGCCCCTAGTCATTTTTAGCACTGCAGCAAAGTGTATGGAGGCATTGCTGGAAAGAGATAGTCTGCACAGAGAATTCAATCAAATGCATAAGAGAATAATATGTTTTAAACATTTCTGTGGTGATTCCTGTTTATGACATCACAAAAATGTTTAGGTACTTCAGTGGTGTATCCTGGTTTTGTGCTGCCCTTGGCAGATGGTTTAAGAGTGGACCTTATTAAGAGGGGAAGTGAACCTTTCCAAAATAGAGATGGGCCATTCAGTCCTATTGAAAGGCAAGGAGAGAAATCAAAAGGGAAGAGTCACTAGCTGACCACTGCATGGTTCTATAAGGCTCTGCCTAATGGCGAAAAAATTCTTAGAACATGGCTGGTGTACTCTCCATCAAAACAAAGTTTGTTTTGTTTTTGCTGCAGACTTTTTGCTGTTGATAACAAAGTAACAGTAACAGTAACAGTTTTGTTACTGGGTTTCAATTGTGGTGGAAGCTGAACCCAAAGGTGTCTGATCATGAGGCTTCTGAGCAGCATCTTATATGCTTGGAGAAATGGAAGACCTTGAGAGCAGGATTGAAGCTACAAAAATGCCTTGATCATGTCCATCAAACAACAGTGGACAGTTAGAAAAGGAAATGGATGGATATTTTGCATCACCTCTTGGATGTAACTTTGTTTCTGGCTCACCAGAATCTTCCTTTTCGTGGTCATAGAGAGACCATGTCATCCGCAAAGAAAGGCAACTTCATGGAACTGGTAGAATTGCTCTCAAACTATGACCCCATTTTAAAGGAACATTTCATGATCCTGAAACATGCTGTTGCATCTGGGAAGAGAATGACTTCCTATTTGTCTCCAAAAATTCAGAACAAATTAATTTGTCTTCTGGGGAATCACATGAAGGAGAAAATAGTGGCTGATATCAAGTAAGCAAAGTACTTTGGGATTCTTTTTGACAGCACCCCTGTTGTGTATATTGAAGGTGACAATGTTGAAGTAAAGGAATCATTCTTGGGGTTCCTTCCTGTTGCTGAAAAGACTGCTGCTGAATTCAAAGAAAATATCCTGCAACATCTGGAGGAAGATGGACTAGACATAAGCCTTTGCCGTGGTCCAAGATATGATAATGCTGCAACTATGGCAGGGACTCTTGGTGGTATTCAGGCAAAAATAAAATAGATTAATCCCAAGGCTTTGCTTATGCCATGTACAAACCATTCTCTGAACCTCTGTGGGGTGCACTCATTTAGAAGTGTTGCTTCCTGTGTGACCATTTTTGGAACATTGGAGAGAGTGTATTCCTTTTCAGTTTCTACACATTGTTTGGAATTGCTGATGGAGAATTTAGGTGTGACAGTGAAAAGACTTTCCCAAACAAGATGGAGTATTCATTATGATGCTGTGAAGCCAGTGAGGGCAAATTTTGAAAAACTGACTTACAAAAATTGTGTAATCCCGAAGAAAATGTGGACACAAGAGGATCAGCTCAGGTGTTGCTGTCTGCCGTATGTGATTTTTCTTTTTTTGTGTTACCTTTCTTTCTGGTGTGAAGTTCTAGAAGAAGTTAAATCACACAGAAGTATTTGCAAACAGTGATCACTCTTGAAAAGTGCATTGTGAAACTACAAGTTCTGAAAGCGTTTCTTGCAGATCAGCGCAGTGAAATTCTGGAGAAGGCCATTCGTTGTGCAACTACTACGTGTGAAGAAATGGACATTTCTATGGAAACAAGAGGGAGAAAAAAAGCTCTGGAAAACAATGCCAGGAGAGAAGGCAAAGGACACTGGTCTCACATTGCGAGAGGAAATGGAAAGGGCTATTGTGAGTGCCTTGATCGTTTTCATCACGAATTGGAAATTCGTTCTAAGGCAGTTGAAAAAATCCATTCACTGTTTGCTGTTATTCAGCCAAACAGTCTGGTTGTTGCAACAGAGAAAGATATTCGTAATTATACTCCAAATTTGACTGAGATTTTTGACGAAATTCTCTAATGAAGACATCTTTGTGGAAATTGAACGTCTTTGGAAGCATTTGGAAGCTGCCAAGATCAGCGTTAAAGTAGCCAAGAAATGGACGGTATTGCAGTTCCTGGAGTTCATTGTTTAATGGGATTTTTGTGAATCTCTGCCAAATTTGTCACTGTGTTTAAGATTCTTTTTGTCTCTCTGTGTATCTATTGCTTCATGTGAAAGAAGTTTTTCCAAAACAAAATTAATTAAAAAAAATGTATTTCGCTCAACCATGAGTGAGACAAGGTTAACAAATATGGTTATACTTTCATTTGAGCATGAATATGCAAGGAAGATTAGCTTTGATGTAGTCATCGATCAATTTGCAGAAATGAAGGCTTAAAGACAGAGGATGTGAGTCCTTTCAAATTACCTCTGTCGAATAGACTGAGTGGTTACTTTGGATCTGTGTTTTTTTGTTTATAGAAAGCTGTATTAGCTGTTCAGTAAATGTTATTTACTTAAACTTAATTAATTTTTAGGTTAATATATTTTTTTTTCTGGCCTTAGTTTATGCCTCTTTGTCTCAAGAATGACTTTGTCAAGTACCAAATCATCATTTGTTTCTTTTTCTCTTTTATTAACTCAATCCTAATGCAAAATTCAAAAGATTAGAAAGAAAAGGAAGAGAATAGAAAGGAAAAAAGAGCAAAATCCAAGAAAGGATGTGTAGGTGGGGGGTTGGTTGGGGGGGGAGGTATATCTGCCTATTTGTTTTCTCTTCGGCTAATTATTGATCTCCATTATCAAAAGCCTCCTGATAAAGATCTATTCATGGTCCTTCCACTGAGCTAACCAGGGCTCCCATATCTTAAAATAGTAATATCTTTTCCCCTGAGCTGCCCGATGGATTTCCTCCATTACCCTCATTTTTCCACTCTCTGTATCCATTGTTCCTTAGTCAGTGCTACGGCTTTACCCCAAAGGACCGGAATCATAGCATTAGCTTCATTCAGTAAATCGTTCAGCAATATCTGTTTATATTTCTCTTTAAAGGAGGATGGCTAACCCAGCAATATCTTAGAAGAGGTAAATCGTTTAAGTGTTGGTAGGATCTTATATATGTCCCCTAGGACCTGTTGCCAATTTGCTCTAAGATAGTTACATTCCCACCAAATACATTCCATATCCCCCCATTTATCTTCGCACCTCCAGCAGCGTTCGCTCACCATTGGACAATATTTATGTAATTGTGCTGGAGTCCTATACCATCTTGCAACTCTTTTAAAAAATAAACATTTTTCTAGAGTTGCTAACTTGTGAGCTCATCCCCATTTTTTTTTTTTTTTATGTCTTAAATTTTTTATTGATAGGTTATTGTTTGCTTCATAGTAAGCAGTTAGATGAGATAACATAAAGAGAGAGGGTGGGGGGGTACAGAAAGTAAAAGGGAGGGGGGAAGGGGAAGCGGGTAACATGTAGATCTTTACACGATTCTTGATATTACAGGTCAAAGATTGCATTACAGATCCAAAATACAGAATCAAAATACAGATGTAGAATACAGAGACAATGTTCTGAATACAAGGTACACATTGCACATACGAGATACAAGGTACAAATAGTGCGTGTAAATTAGCATATATTTGCGTGAAAGATGGGCAGAGCATGCTAGGTAACATAACCTTTCGATGAGGTTTTGGATAAGGTGGTTTGGTATATTGTTAGTTTCATTCCACCTCCACCAGTGCCTTCAGCTTCAAGACCCTAGGAGGGAGCGTATCTGTCGTATCGAGGATCCACAGACAGGCCCACCAAGCGTGGTATCTGAGGTTTATCCAGTGCGGCCCAGCAACACGGCAAGACACATTATAAGATCAAATGTTTACATGTGGTAATTGGGTTAGTCCTCGTTTGCGTGCCCAGGGTGTTAGCTTTCCTAACATAAGTTTGACCACTGCCCCCATGAGTAGACAGTTAAATGAGGTTGTGTAAGTAAGCATTGGGCTCTACGGTATGGCGTGGGTCCTATCTAGGTCTTATAGGGGTATTAGAGTTAGTCACTAGTTTTCAGGTGGATCTCTAAACTGGGTCCAGCGTTGCCAGTGCCTGGTGAAAATATGTTCTCTGTTACGAAGGCGACTGGCCATTCTTTCAAAATTACACGTTGTGTCGAGACGTGTTAGGATTTCTGATAATTTCGGGCTTTGTTGTTATTTCCATCTGTATGCTATTGCTATTTTGGCTGCAAGTAGACAATGAGTGAGAATGTGTACTTCATCTTCCCTGGGTGAGTGTGGAAAAATGTGAAGCAGGTAGCATTCTGGGGATTTCGGCACTATTATTTTCAGTTCGTCTAAGAGGAACTGTTCCATTGCATTCCAGAATGCACTTATAATTGGGCATGACCAAAATATGTGGATAAGTGTGCCTTTACTTTTAAGGCATCTCCAGCACATGGGGGACGCAGTGGGGTATATACGCCCTAGACGCGAAGGTACCATATACCATCTCATTAGTATTTTACAAAAAGCTTCTCTATGGGCCAGGCTATATGTGGACTTTTTCAGCCTACCCAGAGCTTCCCGCCACATCCCTTGGCTAATTTGTGTATTGAGATCCTTTTCCCATGCGCTCATATAGGAGGGGATTTCCTTATCTGCTGTGCCCATGAGTGATGTGTAACATAATGATAGTGCTTTTATGTTCTTTAGTTTACCTTGACATTTAAGGAGAAATCGTGGTGGGGGAAATTGCCTGCCTCTATGTAGTTTGTGTTCATGTAGGATGTTTTTAATGCGTAAGTATGTAAATAGTTCCCTAGACGGGAGGCCGAACGTTTGTTGTAGTGTTGGGAAAGATGTTATTCCCGCAACATCTATCAGGGAGCTCACATGGAGAATACCCTGTCGAACCCACGTATCAAGGCAAAGATCCTGTGTGTGGAGTGTTAGTGATTGTAAGGGTGCGGCGAGTAGGAGGTCACTACCTATGTCCATTTTCAAGATCGACTGTCTCCATATACGGAGAAGTTGTTTCGTTGGAGGTAGGATATCAGTGTCCCATACCTGCCGGTCCGCGCATGCCCAAAGGGCATCCACTATTGTCCCTTGTGCCATGCTGGCATTTTCCAGTGCCAGCCATATGGGCGAAGCCCTACCCTCCATGACCGTGAGGCCCTGTGCTAGTATTGATGCTTTGTAATAAAGCTGGACATTGGGTACGCTAAGGCCTCCTTCTGAGATGGGTTTCCAGATCAATTTATTTGAGATTCTGGGAGGTTTTCTTTTCCAGATATATGCGTTTATGATCGTTTGGAATCTTTTCACTATCGTGTTTGGGATCTCTACCGGCAGTGTGCGGAAGAGGTATAAGATGTGTGGCAAGATCATCATCTTAACCGTATTGATGCGCCCCAACCATGAGAGTCCTTTGTCGTCCCATTGCCTAAGTTGGAGGTCTAGTTTTTGCAGAAGCGGGATGTGATTCACTTTAGTTACTAATGTGGATGTGGCCGGTAATTGGATGCCGAGGTACGTGATTGAGGTTTTACGCCAATCGAATGGATACACCGCCTTGAGAGTTTGCAACGTGTGGTGTGGTAAACGGATTGCTAACGCTTGTGATTTTTTTGCATTATTTTTGTAATATGACACCTTGCCGTATCTATCCAGAAGCGCCATTAAGTTCGGGAGGGAGTTGGGGGGATCAGTGATAAAGAGCAGGATGTCATCTGCAAATAAAGCAATTTTCATTGTACCTATCGGCGTGTGTAGGCCCTGAACTGTGTCTAGTGATTTGATATGTTTAATCAGTGGTTCCAGGCAGAGGATAAAAATCAGCGGTGAGAGAGGGCAGCCTTGCCTGGTTCCATTGGTTATCGGGAATGGCTTAGAGAGAAAGCCTGTGTTATATACTTTAGCCGAGGGGTTAGAATATAGGGCCAATATGCTTTTTTGAAACGGGTGGGGAAATCC